TGGTGAATAAAACCAAAGCGCTGGCCAGAAAATTGATTTTTCTAAAAGGGGCGTGGCTCATAACTCGAGATGACGTCATGATTACGTCATCAAAATTTGCATAAATTATCATCTTGCACTAAGGTACTCACACAAAAAAAATCAATGGCCATAGGTAATCCTAAGTAGTATTTTTAGGATGTCCCCAAAGTCCTCAGCCACCCTTCCATACCACCTTAATCAAACCACTGCATTGATAGATGGAAAAAACTGTAACAACTAGGAAGAAAAGGAATTTCCTCAACTGTTGGGGGCAAAATATGAGCATTTTTGAGTTGATTCAGAACCAGAATCTTTTTTTTTTTTTTTTGCAAATCACAAAAAAATGAAGAGGCGAATCCGAGAACCAACAAATTAAATTGGTGTGGCCTTAAAGGAGAATTTACCAAATAAAGATGCAGTACAGATGACATAAAAGGGGTGTGCCGTTGACAACAGAGTAAAGTTGTCTAGATGATCAGAAAACAACTGCAGGTCAACTCAGAGAGATTGCCTCTACTCACCATTCTCAACTGCTCTGTACTGGTGTTGATTTGAGACAAGTTTCGCTGCTCGCGGCTGACCTCTGACACCAGCCTCATGATGGTCTCCCTGCTGGCCTTGGTCTCCAGCTCGCTGCTGTTCAGTGCTTCAGTCAGCGTGGACAGCCGTCCACGGAGCATGGTGTTCTCTTCCAGTATGGAGTTGATCTACGGACGAAGAAAACACACCCATCAATAATCTAAACATGATAAAAGGTTGGTGTGGAACAAATACAATAAAAACTGGCTCAAGCACTCTTAGCCAATGCTTCATGGCACAAAATCTTTGAACTGTTGCTGTCAAATTAAAGGTTTTGGTATCCCAACATGTCTCACCTTGTGAGTGACCTTCTCAATGACATCAGGGATGCTGCCAGCTGCCGTGTCAAGGCTGATGCAGCGTCCGACCTCTGTGCAGAGGTCACGATATTTCCTCTCCCACGACTGCGACTTCTGCTCGGACTCCTCGCGCTCAGAAATGTGGCCCCTGTGTGCCAGAGGGAAGAAACACATTTAGCACTTACTGTCAGACACAAGGTGAGATAAGTTTTTGACTCATCTCCTGAAAATTGTCTACATGTAGGTATTGCACAGTTAAGGTGCAGTCACATATCATCATAGGTCGTGGTACAATTTTTATGTTATAGAATTTTGTAATATCAAGACGTGAGCAAACCAGCTGGTTCTAAGACAGCATTTTCCGTACCATTTAGACCTCTGAATTTTGTATGCATGTCATGATGCATGACATACATGTATGTGACCAGGCCTAAGGCCTTATAGTGGGTATTACACCAAGACTATAACCATATCACCTGGGTTACTCTGCCAAGTGAACATTGCATCTACTGGTGAACAGTAATTTTGTGATTGTTAGGGGATTCCATGCTTTAAAGGAATAGGTCAGAGCTTAAAGAGATCCCTTCTTGAGTGAAAGACCTCCTTTTCCAGCAATAAAACTATTTTTGTTCATTATACATTGCTGACAGAAAATTATGTCTTTTAAATGATGGCTTGACCTGTTCCTTGCTAAGAGGCATACAATATAAAAAGACGTTTATACCTGGAGTTTTGATCAGTAAGAAATGTGACATGTCTCCGTTCCTTGTATCTGTGCATGAACATGATCAATTTTTTAGTAATCTTTAATAATGGTTTGGGTTTCCTCTTAGTCTCAGAGCTTCCTGTGATCTATTAAACTAAAAGTTAAAGGGTTGCATTAAAATTTGGTTGGTCTTTATTGTCCTTAAAAGAAGAATGAAGGCACTGTAATTTGAAAAATAAGCTTAAGAAAAAAAATTACTCCTTCACCTAAAATAGAAAATTTTATGTATCCTTCCCTAGCTCCCGGTCGAAAAAATAATTTTTCAAAAATTTTCATAATCCTCTTTGCAACAGCTCTCCCCCATGAGAAATTTATTTTTGCTACTCAATTGAAATTGTCTTTTTTCCCAGTGAAGGTTGAAGACATGATGTTTACCTGAGTCTTCCTTCCAGCTCTGCGACCCTGTCCTGGTACTCCCTCACTTCCTTCTGCAGCGCCTGGATGGTGATTTCCCCACGACCTTTCACCACAGACAACGTCCCGGTCTCGTCCTCCATCTCCCGGATACGGTTACGCAGCGTCTGCACCAGCGCCACCTGACGCGCGTTGTCCTCCTTGTAGCTCTGTATCTCCGTCTCCAAGTCCCGGATTTGCACGTCTTTGATTGCGCACCTGTTCTTGCTTTCTCCCAGCTGGAATCAAAGGAAAACATATTCAGTTTCAAGAGGATGGGGCGAGGCAAAGGTTTTATGGGAAAATTGTTTCCATGTTCCTCTTTGGTGGTTGTCATAATGTTTTTTATTCAAGAATAGCTTCAGTCAGAAATAGACAGGTGTAACACAAGGCCCTTTCACAAATGGCACAGCTATCAGGAAAAGGACATTCAATTCAAAGTCACCTTAAAACATCACTACATTTACTGGTAGCTTATACCATAAAGAAGCTGAATTGGGGAAAACAGCTGCAGCTGAATATGTAATTTGTTCAAAGCATCATGGAATTAGGCAATAACCATGCCCATACTGCCTGCAACATACAAGCAGAATGTCAGGATTTTTTACCTCCGCCTGAAGTCGCTCAGCTTTAACCTGCATGGCGGCCAGCTCTCCGGTGGCACTCTCCGCAGCCAGGCGATAGTGCATGGTACGGCCCCCTGTGGGCGGAGGTTGGGATGGGGGCTGGGGGGGATAGGCAGGGTCTCCAGATGAGAAGTAGCCATTGATCTACAAAATAGCAACAATGGAAAACCATTTAGAGAACAGTTGTGAAATATATTAATCACAGAAATTATGCTGAAACTAATGGATAAATCATACATCATTGATTGTCACTTAACAGCTATTGTTAAAGGGTAGAAAACAATAATCTTATCATGATGTTGAAAGAAATCCCTTTGATATGATATAGCTGAGTCTCACCTTTGGTGTCTCTGGTCCTTTACTGCAGGAAAACAAGGAAATAAGAATTAAGATTAGCCAAGTGTGGAAAATAATGACGCCCATGGTGAGTAGCACATAATCTGCTGTAAATTCTATTTTTGCAGTTGAGGTTCTTGCATTGTTTGAAGTTTGCAATCGAAACAATTCTGTAGTACAGTAAATATATGAAACACATATTTGCAGTGTCATGATTATGAGGAAAGACTGGCCATAGCAAAATCACAGTGAAAATAAAACTACCGCAATCATGTAATCAATCAAGATATACAGTGTATGAGCCAGCAAAGAGAAACTGTTACAGTTTCCCTAAAAAAGGAAACACTGTGTATCACAGTTTTAGGCATGGGATTTTTCCTTTTCAAAAGGAGCAAAGGCTGAGTGGAAAAATAAATACAATACACATGACATGGATGACTGAATTGTCACAACCTGTCCAACAGGTAATACCCTGATCCCAGCAGGGCATGAAATAATACCCACCTGCAACCTGAAATTTCTAGTATGTATGTAACAGGTTTTAAAAGATGTACCTCTATTCTAATACTATAGCAATAGGCAAAAATTCAGAAATCTTTTTTTGGCAGATGAAAAAAATGCACAAGGTTTAAAATAATGCAGCTGTGAGTAATTTCATAATCACGTAATGCTGTGGTGGTGCAGTTTCTGAGGATTCTGGCTCCCTGCAATTATGCTTGCTGACAGAAAAAGGGATCGCGTGCCCTGCCCGGCTTAACCTTTTGTCTAAATCTTTGCCTGGGTGTGCCATCCTATCTAGTTCACCAGGCTCCCATCTTCACTCCCTCACAAATATTTGGAAGCCTTGGTAAACTAAACAGGATAGCAACCAGGTAATAGTTACCATATCTAGGACAATTCCAAACTCTATATATTTTACTTAACCAAAAACTCAATACCGGTAGGAAGACTTTAGCTCACAGTTTGTGTGAGGCTCACACAATGCAAATATTACAGGGAAAAGAACAAACCACTACTATGAAAGAAATTATAGAAATGTATAAATCATATCCTTACCCTCCAGTTGCCAAAGATGTGATCAAGTCGTCTTTTTTCTCCAGTTCTTTCTTGTAGAGCTTCAGCTGCTCCTGCATCTATAATTGATAAATACGTGTTTCTATGATGTAACTATGTACAGTCTAAACATAAGGCATTCATTGTCCCCGCACGTCAATGGATGTTGAGGTCTATCACGTAATGATTAACAGCAGCGGACAGGGCTGCATACATGAACACACAAAGGACAGTATTGACTAAATAGTCAACTACCCAGATTATTAACAGTTATAGTAGGGTATAATGTCAAGTGACTTGATCAGTCCCATAACGTTGTATTTCAAAAATCTAGGACATGGATCAATAATTGTTTGCATAAAGCTTTTTCAACTCCCGCATACCTCGGGGATGTTCTACATACCCGGGGGGATTTGAACACTGTAAATTCATATAACTTAAGGTTGTAGCACCAAAATATTTGTGGCTGAATAAATCTTGAAAACCTGGACTTTGGGGCTGAGACACTGAATATGTGATCAACAGAATAGAAATAAAAAAAAGATTCAATGGTTTGATGCTGGTTTGAAATGGAAAAGTGGCTGCAAGAACCTTGCAAAAATAACACATTGTCAACTAGTACATGTATTTTAGGTCATCAGGCAGAGAAAGGTTAACCTTCTGCCTGCTGCATGATCTCATTATCAGTACTAATGTGATACAAAATGTCACCTCACTCATTAGGGTGAAAGTTAATGACTTACTGTTATATTTACCTAATCACTCGGGCATATTTTAATAAGTTACTTTCACAGTTAGCTCACAAGTGTTTTACAATGGAAGTAGGACCATTTTTCTGCTTCACTGGGATTTCAGGAACCTTGACACAAGGCCACTTTAAATTCTAGGACTGAAATATGATGCTCCCCCTCTTCTAAAATGAGTTGTTTTTCTGTGTCAGTAAGTTGTACATTTAGTACATTGTCATTGAACACTTCCCCTTTAGCAAGAGGTATTTTGGCTGTGTACGATGACTTATAACATTATATAGATATTGGAGTGTCATGATATTAAACAAGTGGAGAATGATATGTTAATATTAGAATCTTGTCTTTAAACTCTTTAAATGTATTGTTTTTTGGTTGCCACAGTGCTAGTGAAAGCAAAACTAATAGAATTCACAGATACATCATTTATTTTGTAATTTTCTACATTTCTAAACCTCTTCTCACATCCTTCAATTATATTTGATATGTGTCTGGATGACATCCATAAAATCTAATTTGTGCCGCCTAATCTAGAATAATGAGGTGTCAGACCCCTGTGTCGCTTTCAGCAAGGTCCTTGCTTTCAGTATACAATGGAATTTATGTTCTATGTCCGCTTTCTGTGCATTATAAACACATCATACATTACCTAACGTAACCAGGTAAATAACTACAGACATGTAGACGTGTTCTCACCTCCTGCATGAGCCTCCATGTCTGTCCGGAGGCGCCGGGAGAGGCTGGGCGGTCGGCGGTCCTGTACAGGGAGGCGGGCGGGGTTGAGCGCGCGAGGAACGGCCGCTCGTTCCCGATGTCGTACACCAGGCCGGAGTCATCCAGCGTCTGTAGCCCGGCCCGAGGAGGGGCACTGCTCAGGCCGCCACGAGGAAGCCTCGGCAGCGAATCCTTGTCCGTAAGCCTGTAACTGGTCATCTTGGACACTCGAGGACACCTGTATGAAATTCAGGTAAGGCAGTCGACCTCACAGTGCACTATATGCACCGATGTTTTTCCCAGCTAAAGTCCCCTCAAATTAACACAAAACTTGATCTTGATAACCCGAGAATGTTAACGAAACTATGAAATATGTCCCCACGTCCAAGAAATGACCTGAACTTTCTCTTGACGCTATGAAAACTGAATAAAATAGCAACGTGAGCCCAGTGTTATTGTTGTGCCTGGCAACATGATAAACACACTGGTGAGGAACCACCACTGCGCAGTGCGTCTGCGCAGGGGGCGGGGCTACTGACGTCACTGTTGTGTTTGGGTGTATCATAGTTACATTTATGTAATTTGTATCTTTCTTATTCCGCTTCATTCGACGGCTTTAGGCTATATCAATCCATTTGATTTACTACTGTGTCAAATGTTACCTTTAATGTACTCAGTACAGATGATTGATATGTGGCGGAACGACAAAAATACAGTCGAGAGACGAGTTGCTACCTAGGCTGAACGCAGCACCTCATTCGACAACGTATAATACTATATACATATAAAGTAGACTGAAAGAATAAGAGACAGAAACTGTGTCAGATCATGGTCAGATACATATGAAGATATCGCAAATCTAAGCAAAAGTTGATCACACGAGGACGATTCAATAAAGTGCTGCATTGTTTTCTTCACGTGGACGTAATGATAAATGTCCGATTGTAACTGCACGCAACTTGTCTGGCTTCAAATACACATGGAAATGTTGATCTTTTGTGACCAACTCAACTGAATCAAAAGCAATTTCTGACAATGGCCTAAGTTCGGTCAATTAAATTTCAGAACAAACGATACATCTATTAATATTCAAGGACTTCTGTATACTAGTAATGTCCTTGATCTATTGTTAGAGCAAGGTGGCATTTCTCCGTCATTTGATAGGCGATAATTCACAGTTCACACCGTTTTAACGATTGGTTGTCTCGATCTGTCAGTGGAACTTCGAAGTTAGTGCAATACCAATAATTAGCGCCCGAGGGGGTTAATCTAAAGCCCCTCGATCCCTTGATTTTTCTGTTCAATACATATCGGACAGGATGATGATGACATATTGGACGACGACGACGGACTGCAATACATGTAATTGTCCTTCGTAAATCAATATATAGGAGGTAAATAAGAACAGCAATCCAATAGCTTCCTTCAATCACACCATTGTCTACCTGACCTGACCAGGAATTCAATATTTGAGGTGTGAGATACAGGAATGCATGGGTATAATCGTTCTTCGCATTTCGGTACTTTAGCTGCCTCTGCGTAATGGCAGTAGCACTGGATAATTACCGCCAACAAGCCGTGAAATATAAGCCAGATGTCCAACGGGCCAGTGGGACGATTTGTCGTGCACATGTACAGACTAGCGGTACTATACAGAAGTGCAGGTATACATAGCCGATTTGTTTTGGTCTTGACGTGCATAGGCACATGTAGGCCATGGTAGGACAGTACAGAGTATTCACCGTGTGGGGAGTTTTAAAGTTTATGACCATAAGGTGACTCAGTAATATGGAACATTACCGTAGAGGGAACTTATCTCCAAACAGATATTTCGGTGGCCGAGACAGACTCCATTCAACTGAAAGAGTACCCAACGCCCGTGCGGTCACCGGAAACCTTATTATAGGAGTCAGCCAAAGTGCAAAGGTTAGCTAAACGTTCAAAGGTTACGCGGAAGCTTTAAGTTGTCTTTACACATGTGTGTTTGACCTTCGTAAGATCACCCTTTTATGATAACGCCACTCCCAAAGGAACACGTGGGATAATCAAATGGCGTCGGTCGGCTCGTCAGCCGTGTTATTAGGCCCCGCCACGTTCTGTGCCGTGACGGGAGGGAGCCGGGGGCTGGGCCGGAGCATCGCCGTGCAGCTGGCGGGGCGACTGGGGGAGGGCTCCCGCCTGGTGCTGACCGGCCGCTCGCTCCAGGGTCTACAGGAGACCAAACGGCAGGTGGAGGAGAAGAGTCCGAACCAGCTGGAGGTGAAGTTGGTGACGGGAGACATGGAGGACTCCACCGTGTACCACGCGCACTTCTGCGACATCTTTGCAGACGTTAAACCAGGTATTAAACCAGACATCGATCTGCCAGGACACGCTACTGATTACTGAGTCAAAATTTAAAACTTAGGCATTATGAAGATTGAATTTTCAGCACTCAAGACATTAATTCTATCATACATCTGTGCACGTGACGTCCAAATATTCAACTTGCCTGACTATAAGTATATTCGTATCTCTCTATCCCGCCGTAAGTTGCATAACGTACATATGATACAAGTGAGTGAACTTTTACCCCCATGCCAATTATATCATATGCATGAACATGCATACACTGGATAAAAATAATGCAAATTAAGGTCTAATCTTCGTAAACAGTTCACGGAAATGTGAGTTATGTTACTTTCAAAACTCACAACCAAAAACGCACTCGGCAAAAACTACTACTAGTAGGAAGGCCTTTTATCATTTTTGCGCTTATACAGCATCATAATTACAATAGCATGTTAAAAAAATTATATTGATTTTATATGACGATCGGTAGGCACTTTTAAGAATGCTCTGATGATCCACAACGCGGGAACCCTGGGCGATTTGAGCAAGAAGGCAGCAGAACATTCTGATGCTGAGATTCTTAACAAGTACTACGCCACCAACCTGACGTCTGTCATCGCTCTGACGGCCAAGTTCATGCAGGTGTTTATTTCTAGAACTTTTATTCAGGGCAGGGGGCTATTAATGTAGAACATATATTAAGCAGAGTCTGTTGCCATTCTAATTAAGAGAAGCTAAGCCTATCAAATGATCAAATATCGAAGTCCAAGTCTCTCCTTCCAATCCGTGAATAGTTTCATCGGGTTGCGTTGGTAAAATCAATATTCAATGTACATTGTGCAGAACTATAGCATGATTTTAAGAAATGAAATTTTACATTTTTTGTAACAATTCCGAACTAATTATTAACGGTTTCCTTTAGGTCTTCTCGGCCTCTACCGTCAGACGAACGGTAGTAAACATCAGTTCTGGAACTGCCATTGAACCCTTGGAACACCACGCCCTGTACTGTAGCGGCAAGGCGGCCAGGAACATGTTCTTCAAGGTGAGTACATTCATGTAGTCCCTGACCGGAGTGCTGATGTTTCTGCATACGCCCCTCCTTTGTGAGGAGGAAAACGAGCCCCACCCCTTGTTGCAACTTATTTTGCCTGGTAGTCAGCCTGTGTTGCATGTTGGCCCGCTTCGTACGCTCACTGTCCCTAGCTGCGATTTTGCTGTGTGCGACGTTATAGAGGCTTGAGTTTAAAATTGATGGATACAACTTACAAGTCTGACGCACGCCGTACCCGTACCCGCCATCCTTTCATCAAGTAAACTGTTTGGGGCATTTTTTGAAAATTCTATCGCAGAAAAAAAACAACAACGAAATCAGTAAAATATCTTCCAAACAACCGGTATCATCAGAGCGATCATTATGAACTTAAATTTTCGCGTTTGGTTCTATTCTGTTGCAGGTGATGGCGGCAGAGGAGCCCGATGTGCGCGTGCTCAACTACTCCCCAGGTCCGATGGTGACCGATATGTTACACACAACCAGGTCATGCGGAGTGAAAATAGTTGAAGACGGGTTAGTTTTGACCAGCTGGTTTTGACCTATCCTTTGGCCTCTCCCCTCAAACTACTGGTGAGGTGTTAATTGTAGAGGGTTAAAGATGAACGGAAGCCTGTGTCGTCTCCCGACCCGATTGAATAGACGTTGATGTGTTGGGGGTTATACCAACATTGACTGAACTTTGTTTTCGCCTCTTTTGAAGCATTAGGCCAATAGTAATATGCCACTCCAACAAAAATTATTCTTCTTACTCTACAGATTTAAGGCCATGGAGTCCCAAGGGTTGATCCAGAGCCCGGACGACCCTGCAAAACACCTGCTCACCCTGTTAGAGGAAGACACCTTCAAGTCAGGCGCTTTTCTCGATGTGTTCAACCGCTTCTCACTGTGATAGAGATGAAAATAAAAGTTTTCCTTTCCTTTTCACGATTTGTGTCTTTTTCTTTTGTCTTTTTCCTGACGTATCATACTACAATTCGGAACCTGTTTGCGAATGCAGGTAACAGATCTTTCTAGATTTAGATTTATTAGACTGCAGCCAAATGATACTGTGCCGTTTGCTTCATGCGCACCTGTAAAACTGTCACAGCATTAAGCCCCACATCCCCACATTCATTCAGTTTATCACTCTCAGTCTTCCATGATCACTCCTTTTACAATATTGCAGGCCAAACAGACAAATTTTAGACGACAAACACAAAACTGGTGTTCGAATTCTGATCATGATCTTTACACCTGACTGAATTCTCGCTCCCCAAGGAAAGAGTTCTACATTGGTGCGCTCCCGTGTAAGCACGTAGCCTGTGTAGTGTTGCAGACCACCAGGAATAAGGAACGTGTAAAACAAACATAAGCTGGTGCAAGGTTTCATTCTCACTGCTATGGACACAAAATGTCATTCTTGCTAAGTCACACTTTCCCGATTTAATTTTTCCGCCAGCGAACAACCTGGGATACACTGTACCAAAGTATTGTATCTTTTTATTCTACGTCACATGGTTTTCACAAAAAATACTTGAACTATCATCAGTAAAATCTTGATATGTAAGTGTTTCAAATGTACTGTACTAGTATATCTGAGAGAAATCGTGCTGGGATACAAAACAAACTACTTGAACTCATATGAAATATACGTAATAATCAACTTATTACTAGGGATTGCAAAGTATGTTATATTTAAGAACTGGTGTAATACTCGTAACAGAAACAATGATAGATACACATCAATGGATCTACCGTAATTTCAAATCAGAAATCATTTTATACTTCAACCTAGTAAACAACAGAATGTACAAACATGTACTTTGTAACTTGTAAACTTTGTTTTTATGTATACATGTATGTAATGTAATGTTGCCTTTAATCAAATGAATAAAGTTTGAATTTAAAAAAATCATCAGTAAAATCACTCTCATGATTTTCATGATATATATATATAGTTACAGACTTCCGAGAATATACAACATGTATGCCTTCACTATAGTCAACTCTCTTAGCCAGTGTAATTCGAGAAAAAAACATTTTGAGATGCTTTTCCAATTGGATACTGGATAATAAGTACATAGTAACATGAAACAACTCAAGATAAATCCGAATAGTCAAAGAGCGTCTCTCAAATTCTTAAAAAAATCACCGTGAAAAAATACAGTTAGACGGAATCTAGCGAATACCGATTCGCTTTGGTGTCAACATACCGTCGAACGAATTTGTCTTGAATGAAATGCATATACTCGTATATAACATGGATACAGTGCATATGTACAACAAATACCGTCTTGTGTCTCATCTCCGTGCATGCCCATCAATATACAAGTTGCACTCAATAAGAATGCTCCATATTATATATATATGGACGTCTTAGACTAGAATGTTAAGATTATTGAAAAAAGGTTTTGCTATCTTAGCCTTCTCTCCCATTTGTATCATCTTCTCCCGTGCTCTATGCAGAGCATAGGGTTTGGTGCCCATGTCCATTTCCGTAGCCTTTGGGCGACACACAGTTGTGCAGGGCACTACAGCAGGGGGGTAGTCAGCTGGTAGTGCTGTGTGTTTGACCTTCCCATACTCTTTTCCTACACCTTTTCCCCACACCCTTTTCTCAAGCAGAGAAAGAAATGTGTACCATTTTTAAAGTCTTTGGTATGACCCGGTCGGGGTTTGAACTCACGACCTCCCGGTTACAAAGCGAGCACTCTACCAATTGAGCTATTGCAATCATCTTCGGAGGTTGCGAAAGGTCACTAACAGTGTGATGACACTAGCGATGATGTAAAGTACCAGGAAGATTCTGTCCACTACTTTGGCCAGAATCTTCCACTCGTTGTGGACACTGTGCACCATGTCTACGTTTTTCATTTTGTTCAGAATCTCCTGCACCGTGCACTGGACTTGTTTGAGATACTTCAGCTGTTTCTCCAATGCGGGGTGACTGTGTGAGAAGCTTGTGGACATATTCGTAGACATGGTAGATCGGACGCTAGGATAATCCCTGTTGACAGAATACATGCCGTTTCCGTTTGCAAAGCCGTTCATCTCCGTTAGCGGCAAGGTGGTTGGTGGGCTGTAGCTGTGCTCACGGGAATGCCAACCGTGTCGTGATTGGTCGCCCATCAGCAGGGCCTTGGAAACGTACTTGAGGAACACTTTCCGCGCCCAATCAGGGACCGGCTTGCTGTCCTGAACGGAGTCGCCTAGTGTGATGACGAACGCAGCAGCGATGAGCGAGAGGGACATCAGAGCCATAGACACAATGATGTAAACGCCTGCGGAATGACAAGGGAGGCAATCTTTCAATCAGTCATAAACTGTGCAACAAAAGACTCCAAAGCCATTGAGGATAGTAAATGTATGTCATTTGTCGTCGTCAAAATACTAGTACTATCATGTCCAACTCCAGTTCTTGACAACCTCATACCTTCGCCAAATGATGTATACTAGTACCTTTATGACTGACGTTTTGGCATTGATTATGCAAATAAGATGCTCATTTATGTGAAGAAATATCTGCTATCCATACCTATTGCCGGAATGTTTTCTGACCGAGGCACCGCCTCCGCCACCAGCAGCTGGAACACCGCCAGGGACAGCAGCACCGACACGCCGAACGAGATCTTCTCCCCGCAGTCGGGCGGCAGGTAGAAGGTCGCCCCCACCACGAAGGCCAGCAGGGTGCAGGGCACGAGCATGTTGATGACGTAGAACGTGGATCGCCGGGTCATGTGGATGGTGAAGGTCACATCCGGATACGGAACACCGTTGAAATTTCCCTCGTGTCTTTCCACCGACAGTTTCGATACATTCCACTCCACGTTTCTATAAAATAGGAACACGGAGGTTTTATTTTTTTACGATTGAAAGTGACAGACACATTTAATCGACTACCTACTGCCTACGTCACGTTTCCGTAAATAACATGACAGAATCATGTGGGAACATTTTTCTTCAAAAGTGTCGAAGCATGAGCTGAATATTTGGTCGTTGGTGATCTTTTGTAGTAGACCTCTAACGCCGCAGAGGTCAAATGTATTGGTAAAGTGAACTATTAAGAGGAACAGGTTGACTAAAATCATTGTTTCTCCCATTGTCAGCAGGAGATGTCTTACTCGATAAGGTTCTTCAAGTCTCCATCTTCACCCTGGACATAGTTGACCTGGCGCCCATCTTGGTTCCACGAGCCGAACTTCAGCGGGCATTTCTGTTTGTCAAAGGGGAAGTCAGACACGTCCACTAGACAGGCAGACATGGTCACGGCGGGGGCTTTCCAGTCCACCTGGCCGTCAGAAGAGATCATCACCACATCCTCCAGCCACCCGTCAAACTCGTGGTTCACGCTGTGGTAGTGGTACAAACCAATGTATGAGTTTCGCTGTAGCTAACGTCATGCCATTTAATAGCTCGCCACAAAAATGGACGTGTCTCTAAGCCATGCTAAATCCACCAAAAGTGAAATTTGCTTGACAACGAAGCCGTAACGTATACTTACTTATGGTAGAGGAAGAAGTCTGGTCGCCAAATTTTGGCGGCTTTGACAGTGATGAGGTCTATCCTTCCGTACTCGGTCGCGTTCCACGTCAGAAACTCGTCTGTCCAATTCTGAAAAGTGTCAACATACAGCATGAATAGTTACTTAGCTTAAAATGCAGGTTTCAGAGGTTTGGACCTTTCTTTACATGGATATGATTATAGAATCGCGGAGGCCTATGTACTTACTATGTCACAAACGTTATAAAGGAGATTACAGAGTAAATTAAACATGGATACGAAAGGGGCTCACCAGTCTCAACCAAACGTCTGCAGTGAGAACTTGGTTCTTCTCGTCCTAACGGAAAGACAAAAGGTGTGAGTCAAATAAAGTAATATATCAAACATTCGGAATAAAGCAAACATATTGGTACTGCGATTTTGACAACCCATGTGTTCTTGTTACAGCTGGCTGGTTTATGGTGTTTGTATTCATGTGCATAATTTTACATCGTAAGCCATGGCATGGCTTACGCCACATCGTCACCGTAAAATTATGCACATGAAAATTTGTTGAACCGACCCTTCCATGTTCAACCGGTCAAACAAACAAACAAACAAACAAACAAAAAGCAAACAACCAACCTTTCCGCATGTTGGTTGTGGACATTAACGCAATCCAATTCACAGAACAAGTTTTTGTAACAAGGCAATAACAGAATTTAAGTTCGTTTGGGTAGAAACAGTAATATTAGTTGTTTGCTTCGCTCACCATGTCTATGATATGAGCCAGTGCCATGTTGACAGTAACGTCGGTGGGGGTCCGGGAGTCATACACGGGCCTCACGTCGGGTGTATAGCTGCTGTTCTCGCCGAGCAAGTCTTCATACAGACGCAGCATGTGTGGTTTTTCTCGGGATCTAACTTGTCCTGCATGAACGAACACAAGTCATTTTCCTGATTTGTTGTTGTCAATATTTTGTCGTACATCTTGCTCGAGCTCACTATATATATATATGCACAGACTACAGTTGCAGTGACTGGAATTACTGAATAAACGCTGTCATGGATTTTGAAGCGCCATACAAGTGTCACGTAGTAGATGGAGTAGATGACGTAACGGTTAATTTAATATCTATATTAATCAGTATAAATTCATCACTGAGGACATTCAAGGTCATCCACCATTCAAGGACACTGTTTACACTGTAAGGACATCTAAGGATACAGTCTAAGGACACAGTAGGAATGTAAGGGTTAATGGGTGGAACACTGAGGTTACACGTATACTGAGGTTACGTAAGGTAGGACCGTAAAACATAACTAAATATGGTAATAGTCCCTTCTTCTAGGCCACATAACACAGATTCAGGGAAACTTCAAGTTCAGTTATAAGAAGTCCATTCATCTAAAAAGTAGTAAACAAGTCCCTTAATTTAGTTCAAGGTAAAACAGAGTTGTCATCAGAGAGATAGATGCTTTCTTGAGTCAGTCTTCTCTTGGAGAGTCTCCGCCTGGCTGTGGCCAGGGGAGTCTTCTCTTGAGCGGAGTGAGAGGGACTCATACTTTGTGTAACTCCGTTGACTGGGAATAAAACCACACTAACAACTACAACTTTCCGACTAATCTTTTGTGGACGACGCTCAGAGACCACCGTACTAGAAGGGAGCATCGCCACATTTTGGTAGTACGGCTGGGGTCCTCATCGCCACATTTTGGTAGTACGGCTGGGGTCCTCATCGCCACATTTTGGTAGCGATGGCTGGGGTGGACGATCCAACATTACAACGGAGAAGGAGAGACTGATGTGGAGCTGGATACCAGAGCAGGTGGGTGGAACGACAAGTTGCTTCCATTTGGCACACTAGCTGTCGGTAGCACCGGTCTTTTGTGTAGAATTTTCTTAGTCGTAAAAACTGTAGTTTCTATGTTGAGTTTTACCTAGAATTGCAGCATAGCATTGTCTTCAAACAGTGAGTTGTGCTGTAATTTTTTGTCAGCCAGTTGTGTTCAGCTAGGGAAGGATGTTTAGGGGTTTTGAAGTTCGTCAGCATCTGAGTAATGGCTGCCTGTTGGGCGGAATTGGAGTCAGAGGAGACTCGGAAGTTAGTGGGCCGGGAACCACTTGTACAGTTTGTGGGTCCTGGCAAGGCAAGCAGGAAGGGAGACCCTTGCCTTGAGTTGAATATTTTATACAGTATGGTAGTTTAGTTGGTTGTGTTTTATATTATACTAACGTGCTAATACTGTAGTGTGTTCAATGTGTATATGAACATGATAGAATGGGTGGGTCCCAATGCCAGTAGGGGTAGGAGCTGATTGCAGGACGATGCCTTGGAAAGCCAGACATTCGGGCAACATTGCCGGGTAGCGGGAATGTTTGGGCATCACGAGAGCATTCGGCTGGTAGGAACATCAGTTTAGATTTCCATGGGTAACTCTCATTGATAGAGTTAGGTAGGGAGACTAGCTATATACAGGAACACCGTTTGTGAAAAAAAGGGCAGAAAATTTTTGACCAGGAGATGAGGCCAAGGGAGATGATTTAAGTCCAGGATTCAGTTATTCATAATCAGGTTCTGCAGTTTTCTCAGATTTGAGTCTATTGAGGGCAGGTTGATGCCATGAGTTGTGGGTGGCAGGTGGTGCCACTGAGTTTTTTTGAGGGCATGTGGATGCCGAGATTTGAGAGGTGACAATAGGTGTCATGTTGAAGGGTACATTGGTACCGTGTGCGGTTTGTGACAGCCCGGTAGGCTGGCCGCTAGTGTTACGAGTACTCGTGTTGCAGGGCACGTGGTTGGTGCCACTGTGTAGGGTCTTAGGAGAATAAGACCGGTTGTACTGTAGTACATGTGTATGTGCCATTGGTTGCATGCGTTGTTCCACCGAACCCCAACCCCTGCAGGTGAACTCCACAGGAAGTCGACGTGAGGAAGACGACGTCCAGACGGTCCGACGCGCATAACGTAACGATGCGGTCGTGAGAGCACCTCGCCGGGATGCCGAGGGCACTGACCCAGCACTGCATCTTCCAGACGGACGGAGTTCCTGACTGACGTTTCCTGTGGTCCCGTGTTGCGTCCAGAGACGGCGGGAGCGCGCAAGCCGGTCACCAAGGGGGAGAGCGGAGTGGCGACGCGTGACAGCCATGAGGGCACAAGGAAACACTGTTGATGAACTAAGAGAACTGATAAGAACTGATTCATTGATTCGATGATTATGGACAGTCTACAGGACTCTTATAAGCTGTAGAGTCGTTACTTGAGATAACAGTATAGAATAATGTTTCACTAACATTGAGTGTTATACTATATTTTAGTCGATATACGTGTATCATACTTTTTGTTATTTTTTATAACTTTTGTTCTGACGTCACCTCACGGCAACGCGGACGTTGCCTGTTCAGGAAGGGAGAGATGTCACGTAGTAGATGGAGTAGATGACGTAACGGTTAATTTAATATCTATATTAATCAGTATAAATTCATCACTGAGGACATTCAAGGTCATCCACCATTCAAGGACACTGTTTACACTGTAAGGACATCTAAGGATACAGTCTAAGGACACAGTAGGAATGTAAGGGTTAATGGGTGGAACACTGAGGTTACACGTATACTGAGGTTACGTAAGGTAGGACCGTAAAACATAACTAAATATGGTAATAGTCCCTTCTTCTAGGCCACATAACACAGATTTAGGGACAACTTCAAGTTCAGTTATAAGAAGTCCATTCATCTAAAAAGTAGTAAACAAGTCCCTTAATTTAGTTCAAGGTAAAACAGAGTTGTCATCAGAGAGATAGATGCTTTCTTGAGTCAGTCTTCTCTTGGAGAGTCTCCGCCTGGCTGTGGCCAGGGGAGTCTTCTCTTGAGCGGAGTGAGAGGGACTCATACTTTGTGTAACTCCGTTGACTGGGAATAAAACCACACTAACAACTACAACTTTCCGACTAATCTTTTGTGGACGACGCTCAGAGACCACCGTACTAGAAGGGAGCATCGCCACACAAGCATGAAAACAAAATACATGTACCTGTCTGTTACTGGGTAGTTCTTCATATGTACTCGTACGAAACAAATTTATGCTGAATCTGAAACGTTTCATTGTGATAATGAAATATTTCTAACAGTTTCAGTTTAAATCTTCGTTTAGATCCTTTGTCTCGTGTAGCCAATAAAACTTGAACGTTGATGGGCTTGTGAAGATACGGGCAGTGCTTGAACCTACCAGCAGGAAGCTACATCGAGCTTATCAGCTTAGCTGTGTAACTACAGCCTCTCCCTGCGGTTTTGTGTTTCTTCCGTAAATTGTCCGTTCATGTCCAAGTTCATGCTCCAGTGAGACCGTGCGTCAACGTCTGGTTGTTTACGGAATATTTTGTGTCGAAAGCACATGTACCTTAATCGGTTGTTTTCTCTGACACAAAGCATGAAACGGCTGGACGCTGAATGGAGATATTCTCATATTTCCGTGTTAGTATAGAACTGCAAAACCCTATTAATATTTGTCACAGTAGCATTGACGTCATTTTTGTAAGTGCCCCCAAAAGACTTAGTATTTCTTTCAAAGAAACGAACGCTGAACACGAAACGAAATGAACAGTAACCACGACCCCCCCCCCCCCCCACACACACACAGACTACTAGTAGTAGGGCACATTGTAAATAAGCTACTAGTTCTCCCCATGTTTTCTTTCAAATGTCAGTGACACTCATGAGTGCTTCTGTGATACACGGGCTGTGCACTTTGAATTTCACAAATTCAGTTTTGATTTGTGTGAGGGAAATCTCAACAAAACCACCCAGGTGAGAAAGACCTGGTGGAAGCTAGTGAGCTGACACACTCCTCCATTCGGTTTACTCGTATGTACAAAAGTAAACGTTGGCGTGCAGTATGATAACACGTGGAACTGTTATTACAAGGTCTGTCTATGTAAGGTTATTCTTAGCAGGTGGATCCTAACATCGCACCTCACACCTTTTGTTACATGTCAACAACGTGTGGGCATTAGTCTGTAAGCCGTCACGCTAGTGCAGGTGTAGTGTGTTGGTCATGGCGGGGGACATGGTTGAAATAGTATGGGCAATCCAGCAGAACACAGAATGTATGACGTCGCGGTAGAAACATTAGTGTGAAGATCACTTGAAAATACTGTATTTGAAAATCAGCGAAGCAGAAGCTGACCTTTCAGATCTGAAGGAATCGGACTGTTAAGATTTTGTACTGCAAATTAACGATATTTTGAACGCAAACTAATTTGATCTCTCCTCAAACACTTATGCTCATATGATTTACAACTTGTCAAGGCTCACATAAACAGCGAACCTTGTGATTCGTTAGGTTAGTGCTATGATTTGGAAAACACTCGTCCCGCCATTGCTGTTAGTTCTTCACCCTGTTCACTAGTGTCCGTGGGCAAAACCTCGTAACAATATAAGGAAGGGGAGGGGGGTTGAGTGTCTGTGATGTCTCGGGCCTACCTTCGGCGGTGATATTTATCTTCACATGCCGCGCTCTCTGAACTGGAACAAAGTACGCCCACAAGTATGGCACCCAAACACATGTGTATCCATTCAGATTTATTTAATACTTACTCTTCCAAATACTTGTATCTGATTGAAGATAAGCTGTAGCAGCGACGGAGCTTGAATAAGTACCCCCCCCCTCCCAAAAAAACACACACAGGATATCATAAAGGTTACCGGTGATCGTGTACCTCGTTCACTTATGCAGGAATTCGAAGCGTTACGACTGCAAATTCAAACACGATTTGATTGTTGAATGTATCGCCGTACTTTCTGGGATATACCCCTTAATGTGGATCTATCATATTTCCATTCTAGTGCCTGCTCCTGTTGTACTTTATATACACCCCTCGTCACCTGAAGCTGAACAGACGTTTACACACCCAGTTTGATTACACCAGTTACAATCTACCCCAGACTTGACTTCTACGAGTATATCCATAGAAGCACACGAACGTGTTACCACCCACCTTCAACATATCCACAACTAGTCCACCACAGAACAGCTAACGCCATCGAGACGTGCCACTTCAGATAGTTAGCCATGTTTGAAGTCGCGCGTTCAACTGTTGTGGTCTGCTCACATGTGACGGTTGCTAGCACTTGGTGGAACGGAAGTAGCTAGAGGGCAGAGTAGTCTGTGACCCGACTAGTCTAAGCTTTATTCACGTCCATTGTTCCAGGTATTCAATGACAGGTAACCGTGCGAACGGTAGCTGTCCTCGGATCTCAATCTCAGATTAGCAAGAAATGATTGTCTTTTTTTCCTAATTCCTCATCAGGCCTTGTGGCGTTTTCCTATATATTCATGTCCTTGTTTTAACTTAATTTATGCCATACACGTCTGTGTACTTTTTCTGTGCATGAGCATAAACGCCGTAAACAACAACAAGTACATAATTATATACTAGTATAAGTCCTGCTACACACGCGTGAATGATCATGGGTATATATATATATATATTGTATGTCTTTATTAGATCACGAGGACAAATCTCTCTCCGCACCCCAAAATACCTTTCACCACGAGTCATAGATAGAACTTAAAAAAGCACGGTCATCACTTCCTGTGTGGGTCGTTTCCGGTTGTCTGTTACGTTTCTAGGAACAAGGATTGAATGCCTTGGAAGGTCGCACTATACAGTATTCATGGGCGAACCCAGGGGGTCTATGACGCGGGTATAGAAAAATGTACAGACAACATTGGTGAATCCCGGCTAGAAAGTCTTATGTGACAGGTAGACAGGTGTATACGTGCTGTGTGGTATAAAAACATGTCGGCTTTCAGGTATATGTATTACTAGTATTTGGATTGTGAAGGTCTTCGCGAGTTCGTGACTGTATAAACAAGGACACTATATAATGTCCTTGGAACAAAAACGTATAAATTACCTTCTTGGCGAAGGTAGCAAGAATGTTAACCAGGAGGTTTAAAGAGGCGACTGCAGTTTAGTTGATTTCCGCAGAGGGCGATTTCGAATTGTGCGTCATGAGGCGACACGCCGACAGAATTTTTACCGCGTCGAAGTGAGTAACCTTGGCGTATAACATGATGTGTATTAACGCGGGGGCAAACCAGAAACCCAGGCCCAGTTACCCTGGGAAGCATTTTGTTGTTTGTTATTCACTGAGGCCAAGCACAGTACATGTATTTTAGGACTGAAGCAACTTGAGAAAACGTTATGATGTGTCGTCTCCGGCATGACTCCCTTCCGGCTCCATGAATCCCCTGAGGTTCAGCAAGGTCACCACAAGGGCGATGATACAGGCCACCAGGTACAGAACGAGAAAGATCCTGTCCACCACTGTCGCCAGCGTCTTCCAGTCGTTGTGGATGTTTTTCACCGTGTCCAACTTCTCCATGTACGCGGAGATTTCTTCAACCGCGCCTTTGATTTCCAGCAGGTACTCCAGCTTGGTCGGCGATGCCCGGCTCTTCCTCTCTGGTCTAGCTGGCAAGCCAAGTCTCGATCTCCGTTCGGTACCAGAGTATATGCTGTTCCCGTCTACTTTGCGGTTTATATATATAGTGTTGTTTTTCATGTGCTCGGGTGAGGGGTACGCGTTGTACCGGTACCAAAGCTCGTCCTCGTTCTGTCCGGACTGGTCGCCCATCAGCAGTGCTCTAGAGATGTACTTGAGAAACACTTTCCGCGCCCACCCAGGTACCGGGTGGTTCTCCTCACCAGAGTCTCCCAGGTTCATGACAAACGTAGTGGCCAGGAGGGAGAGCGTCATGAGCGCCAGTGACACGATGATGAACAGACCTGCGAAGAAAAAATTAACAAGTCAACGATGAAGTATGAACTGTCTTCTCAAGTCAGAATGAGATAAAGGCTGTAGATAATCTTAACGTCAAGCTGTAAAGAGAGGAATATAAGATAAATGTGATTCTGCATAATATCGTTGCATCAAATATGGAGGTTGTTTCTACATCTAAATGGGAACATACGTTTGTCCATACCTACTGTGGGGACGCTTTCTGACTGCGGCACCTCCTGTGCGACCACTAGTTGGAACACCGTCAGAGTCAGCAGCACCGACACGCCGAACGAGATCTTCTCCCCGCAGTCGGGCGGCAGGTAGAAGGTCGCCCCCACCACGAAGGCCAGCAGGGCGCAGGGCAGGAACATGTTGATGACGTAGAACGTGGATCGCCGGGTCATGTGCATGGTGAAGGTCACGTCCGGATACGGAACACCGTTGAAATTATGTTCGTGTCTTTCCACCGACAGTTTCGGTACATCCCACTCCACGTTTCTATAAAATAGGAACACGGAGGTTTTATATTTTTACGATTGAAAGTGACAGGCACATTTAATCGACTACGTACCTACTGCCTACGTCACGTTTCCGTATATAACATGACAGAATCATGTGGGAACATTTTTCTTCAAAAGTGTCGAAGCATCAGCTGAATATTTGGTTGTTGGTGATCTTTTGTAGTAGACCTCTAACGCCGCAGAGGTCAAATGTATTGGTAAAGTGAACTATTAAGAGGAACAGGTCGACTAAATCAATGAAAGTCTTTACTGTATTGTGTGACTCAGCACAATGGAATGCAGAGCAAGGGCCAATAGGCATACTGTTAAAACAACTAGTCCTAGGTAAATATGATTAAACGTCTTCTGTCTGTAGGTGTCACGTGACCTACCGGATTAAATTCGCCATGTCCCCAACTTCGCTCTCACTGAAGTAGTCAACATGGCGACCGTCCTGGTTCCAGGAGCCGAACTGTAGGTAACATTTCTGTTTGTCGAAGGGGAAGTCAGACACGTCCACTAGACAGGCAGACATGGTCACGGCGGGGGCTTTCCAGTCCACCTGGCCGTCAGAAGAGATCATCACCACATCCTCCAGCCACCCGCCAAACTCGTGGTTTACGCTGTAAGTTTTGGTCGATTAGATTAGATTCTCAGTTTTTCATCAGTACCAAAACATCAAATGACAATTTTTCAACTCTCTACCGTACATGTCAAAGTCGTAACCTGACAGTGCATGTAATTGGGTCTTTTACATGTTCAAATAGTTGTAGATGTAGTTTAACCGATTGAATGACTTACATGTATAACGCTATTCAGATAATGTCACATTGCTCTCTTACGAAAAGGTATGAAAGATATGCGTAATCCTCTGGTTAGTGCCATACATCTAGACAAGATTTTTAAGGCACATGCACATTTGAAAAGGATGAAATGTTCACATATGTAATGTAATCATCTGACTACGATATCCTTTAAAAGACGTGAGTCGCTGACAAGCTGCTTACTTGTGGTAAAGGAACATGTCTGGTCTCCAGATATTCTCCGCTTGTGTTGCAATGGTCTCTATCCCACCGTACTCACTCACATTCCAGGTCAGAAACTCGTCAGTCCATTTCTGGAACAACGTAAAGTGCACAAGAAGGTAACCGACCACCGAATGGATGGCAGATTCAAACCATGAACTTTGGCAGTACACGTCTGTAGGCAATCTTTCGTCCAGGAGTTTGTCGGGGAAAATATAAAGCATGTGTAGTGGTGCTGCGTACCGGTATACACGTATTTGGGTACAAGTCCAACGTACCAGATCTATGTACAGGCAATGTATTTGAATAGACAGATATAAGTCAAATGCATAACTTGATTATACATAATACAAGGGTTGTTGACAAATAAAAATATTGCAAACTCACCATTCTTAACCAGACCTCTGCCGTCAGAACCTGGTTCTTCTCGTCCTGTGTAATGATGGGAATCTTCATTGAATGGATGTGGTTAAAACATACATTCAGATTTTGCAATGAGGAATGAAGTAACCATATTGCTGTACAAGAAAAACGATGGCTTATTTGAGCAAGATCAGCAAAAGAGTAGACAATGTCCAACAGTGGAAGCCAATAGGCTGAAATATTGTCAAATATAACGTTAACGGGGGGTGCCCTAATTCCGACCTACCCCTAATTCCGTACTAGTTTGAAAAATCCTTGTTGCGGCGTTATGCATGGGAGCACATGCCTAAAAATAATCACAAGAATGGACAAAGTTTTTGTATTGATATCGGTAATCTCACTAAGTTTGTTTTAGTTCGTACACTCCGACAACAGACGAGTGAAAAATTTGTGTGAATTCGACGCTTGTTCGGGGGTTGACGAGCGTGTCAAAAATGCAGGTTTTGCTTTTCAAACAGCCACTTTGGAGCAAGTCGCGTAATCGTAAAAAGATTACTTGTTTGGGACAGAAAAACAGTTGTAGATTGTTTTAGTCATAATTTGTGTATTATAATTTCTAAACTCTCTTCTCAGATCGACCTGTCTTAAACACTAGGTCGGAATTAGGGCACCCCTGTTGCGATAGAACGTTCCACCGGCAAAATGACCAAAAACCTGCCGTGCGTTTCGCGAACCATTACGCTTCGGTGCAAGGCGCTACACTGAAGTGAAATACACAGCTGTACAGCTTTAATCATTGTGATCTTTATCTGTCAATATTATAGCTCATGTTGCGC